TCTTCCTGTGTCCTGGTGGCGTTGGGAGCGGCGTGTCACACGCTGTACCCCTTTGTCCAATCAGCCTTACTTGCAAGTGTTCACACAATGAGTTCAGTCTGGTTCAAGGCCTCCGGTTTCTGGTACACCATCGTCACTGGATCCTCACGGACACTCCTCTGGGATGTCCCAGGGTCACCCACGTCATGGAGAGCCTGTGGGTATTATGCCAGAGGACAAGTCCCCTCAAGAGCTCCAGCAGGTCCTAACTGGGGTAGACGGTAGTGTGGACCAGCCAAGGCCCAGCTGAGGGCCTGGCTGGTAGCTGAGCTGGCCATGCTGGGTCACTGGGACCACCTGCTTCAGGTGAGGGGTGGAGCCAGCTCCCCTAAGCCCATGCCCTCAGGGTCAGGTCACACTCCCCTGTGAAGAGGGGCGGGGCCAGCTCTCCCAAGTGCAGGGCTGGGCTCTCCCATGAGGGTCAGGGCCAGCTCCCTTGCTGCAGTGTCCAGGGAGAGGCAGGGCCAGCTTTCCCAGGTCCAGCTAAGGGCAGGGCTGGCTCTGAGTGGCCCTCTGATGTCCTCTTTATAGATTATTTCTCCTTAGAGCCTTTATAACAAACCTAAAGAAAGCACATAGATTTTAATGATAATGTTGCTGTTTTTGCAACCCTGTTGCACACTGTGGCACAGGCTGACCCAGTCTTCCGGAGATACTCCTGCCTGTGTCCAGAGAGCTGAGATCACAGGTATGCACCACTACATGACAGTTATAATTTATTAATTATGAAGAAAAGCACAGGTTCTTTTCCAAGTCTTGTATCAATATGGGTCAGGGAGGAAAAGAACCAACAGGGTGAATCAGCTAACAAATGTGTTCATCTACCATCCCTATATATTAGATGATTTAGTAAATCAGCAGTGTTAAATAGTAACAATACTTGATCCTTGAGGCTGGGCACCTCAGCAGACCCAATCTGGTACTGCAAACCCAAAAGATTCCTGGACAGCCACTGGCGATGAGTCAGTGACAGAAGCCTGGACCTGCTGGTCCAATAGTGAAGAAAGAATCAGCAATAGTTACAGAGTAAATCAGTCAGCAAGGGCGGAAAGCCAAGGCAAAAGGCCAGTGATGATCCCTCTGCCAGAAGGTGCTGCCCACATTCAGGGGAGAGCCTTCCCACATCAATGAGGCAATCAGGACAGTGCTTCAGGGCAGGCTCCACACAGCAGATTCTAATTTGTGGCAAGTTGACATTCTATCAACTGTAACAAACCTTTTGTTTGCATCTTGGTCTCTCAGCCTCTCTTTGTCAAGGCTTTTTAATTTCCACACCTCAGCATATAGACTGCTCTTTGAACTTAGGTATTAGCATTCGGGATTAGTAGAGTCAAGACAAATCACAAAGACTGTTTCTACCACCTGGCCTCTTCTCAGGCAGATGATTATGAAGACATCACATGCTCTCTGGAATGAAGGCATTTGCAGGAGAAATTTAGGTAGGGATGGACAAGACAAACCTCTGCAACCTCCTTCCTGTCTCATGTATCCCAGGCTGGCCTTGAACTATGTATGCAACCGAGGGTGGCTCTGAACTGGGCTTCTTGCATCAACCTCTTAGGAGCTGAGATTACAGATGAGGACCATCAAGACCCACCATGCAGCAGTGGGGATCAGATCCAGGACTTGGTACATGCTAGGTGAAACACCATGACCAAATGCAAGTCTGGGAGGAAAGGATTTATTTGGCTGACACTTCTGCATGACAGTCTATCACGGAAAGAAGTCAGGACAGGAACTCAGGCAGGGCAGGATCTTGGAGGCAGGATTTGATGCAAAGTCCATGGAGGGTGCTGCTCACTGGCCTGCTCAGCCTGCCTTCTTATACAACCCTGACCACTAGCCCAGGAATTGCCCCACTCACAAAAGGTTGGGCTCATCCCTGTCCATCACTAGTTAAGAAAAAAAATTTTAAAGGAGGTAGCATGAGAATAAAGAAGAAGAAACTACCCTACTATGATCTTACGGAGGCATTCTTCTCAATCGAGGCTCTCTCCTCTGACTTTAGCTTGTCTGAAGTTAACAAAAATCTAGCCAGCAAGCTAGGCAAGCACTTGAACAACTGAGCTACATCTCCAGCCCTGGATTTATTTAGCTTTTTAATAATAAAAACAAGACTATACCAAGCAATGGGTTTCATTTTGACATTCAAACATTCTTTCTTCTTATTAGTCCTCTTCCCCACTGTTCCTCTCTCCTCCTTCAGGAACCCACCTGCCTTGTGTCTCATATTTTCTAATTACCGTCTTCCCTTCCCCACACCTCTAGATTGCCTCTTCTAATCCCGTAGCTCCCAGTGTCCTTGGCACCCTCACAATAGATGTGAGAAGAGGCCAAGTACAGAGCCATTGATTCCTATGGTTCCAAGCAAAATTTAGACTTGAAATATTTTATTTATTCATTTTATGTGTCTGCATGTTTCAAGCCTGCATGCCTATCTGTGTAACGTGTGTGCCTGGTGTCTGAAGAGGGCACTGGGCATTCCTGGAGTTAAGGACAATTATGAGCCACTGTGTGGATGCTAGGAATTAAACCCAGTTCCTCTTCAAGAGCAAGTGCTCTTAACCACTGACAACTCTGCAGTCTTCAGATTTTATTTTCATTTTTGTGTATGTAGACATGTTCATTTCTGTGTGCACATGTGTATGTGCAAGTACACATCACATGTGTGGAGGCCAACAGTGGATGGTTGGTGTCGTCCTCAATTGTGTTCCCGGTATTTTTTGATATAGGGTCTCATGCTAAGCCCAACCCTCACCATTTCTACCTGTCTGGCTGCCAAGCAAGTCCTAGGATTCTCCTGATTCTGCCTCTCCAGGATTAAAACTCCACAAGTGTACTGCCACTCCTGGCTTTTATGTGATTGCTACAGATTGAGAACTCAGGCCCCCAATGTGATGTGACAGACACTCTACCAACTGGGGCATCTTCTCAGCACAGTCTAGACTCTTGCGATGATGGGCCTGTGGGAGAGGAGTACTTTGAAGGCATTGCCTTACATTGATGCTAAGAGGCCAGCAGAGTATGTGATGGACTTTCAAAAGAAAAAAAAAAATATGCACTAACTGAATTACAATGCTTCAGCTGAAAAAAAGCAACCTGAGATTCAATGTCAAAATGTGGGGGCAAAGTCCATCTTGGATTCAGCGACTTAGAGCATGTCTACAATTGGTTTCCTCTCCTCTGTGTGTCAGTGATCTGGCAGGCCAAGACTCCAAGTCATGCTTGTAAAATTTAGTTCTGCCCACACATTTGCAGTGGGATGTGTCTGTCCTCCAATCACTGCTGGAGACTGAGACTACCCTTTCCCTTCCATTCAACATTCCATGAACTCCCACGAGAGAGAAGATGCCCAGCTACCAGAGGGTCTGCAGCTGTCCTGTGTGCTATAGAGCAGCCAGAGCTACACAGTGAGTTCCTGTCTTAATAGACAAATTAGATGATCAAAACGACTTTTCTAACCTTACTGTGGCACATGACCTGAGAGGAACCTACTTCCTAAGTCTACATCCCAACAGACTATGACATTGCAATTACCACTCAAGCAGAATGACTGTTTTCAGCTTCGCAGATGCCCCTCATGACTCTCCCCAAAGGCAGCCTCCATCAGATTCTACCACCACCCATTTGAGGCAGAGTATTCATCGGGACCATATGCTCCCCAACAATGACATGGAAACTTATTAATTATGAAAACTCCGTCAACAGCTTAGAATTGTTTCTTTTTTTTTTTCTTTTTCTTTCTTTTTTTTTTTTGTTTTTTTGTTTTTTTGTTTTTACGAGACAGGGTTTCTCTGTATTGTTTTGGAGGCTGTCGGTCCAGCCTGGCCTCGAACTCACAGAGATCCGCCTGCCTCTGCCTCCCGAGTGCTGGGATTAAAGGCGCCTGGCTTAGACTTGTTTCTAACTAGCTCTTATAACTTAAATCGGCCCATTTCTATGAATTGATTTTCTGCCTGGTGGCTTTATTGCCTCATCTCTGTATTGCCCATCCTGCTTGCTCTATGTCTCCTGGCATCTCTGCCATTCTACTTCCCAGCATCCTCTGTGCCTGGGAACCCTGCCTAGCCATTGGCCGTTCAGTTTTTTTTTTTTTTATTAAACCAATTAGAGTGAAAATCTTCACAGTACACAAAAAGATTATTCCACAACACCCATTCCTTCAGTCTGAGTGTTCTGAATCTAACAGCCCCAAGGTGTTCATCTTAGATATTCAGATTAGGATGTTTCACTGTGTGGCCCCATGCAGTTCTTACACACAAGCCCACAGCTAGGACACAGTTCTGCCCCTAAGCATGTCCGGTCAGGGTAACTGCACTTATGTAATTTGTGAAATTTACAGACATAAAATCCTACACTCTGCATTCTCTTGGTATGGTCTTTCCACCTTCTGTGATGTTATGAGTATCGGATTAATTTTCTTTGATTTTACTACGCTTAGTATGGTGTGTGTGTGCATCATAGTGTGAGCATCTGTTTCCAAACATTGGTGGAGAAAAATTACTATCTGGGTCTGGTGTCCACATCAGACATTCTGTGAGGTCTGTATCTGGGAGTCAAATCTCTCAGTTACAAGGTACAACTTCTAGGGATAACTTCCAACCCACAGAGAGGACTCTTTCAAGGGAGATGTGGCATGACCAACAGGCCACCACTGGGGGTACCCCCTCCTTAGTCTCTCTTCTGGACGCCTCCTCCACAACTGTCCCCCCAAAGCAGGGAAGCCCGTGGAGCACAAAGCCACATTTGAATCAGTGAAATGACTGAGAGGGTAAAGGTGGCTGCCACCAAGCCTGACAAGTTGAAACACATCAGAGCCCTGTCCCATCTTGGTACAGAGCACAGACATCAAGCTTGTGCTCCATTCCCCTCAGTCACCCAGTTGTTAGGGTATATATCCTACTGTGTGACCTTTTGAATTTTATTTTATAGTTACATTGTTAAGATTTACCAGCTGGTCCTGTTGGCATACACCTTTAATCTCAGCAATCAGGAGGCAGAGGCAGGCGGATCTTGTGCGTTCAAAACCATCGTGGTGTACAATGTGAGTTCCAGGACAGCTGCTCCACAGAAAAACCATTTCTCACCCCCCACACTCTTCTTCTTTTTGAGATAGGATATATGCTATGTCACTCAGACTGACCTCAAACCCATGAGCCTCCTCAGCTTGCCACGTGTACATGTACACTACCACTCCACACCACTCCAGGTACTGCTAATGTTTTCTACTGGGTACGCAAATTTGAAAAAACATAAGTGCAACAGAATCATTCCTTTTATGTCTAGGTTATGACACTAACCCAAAGAGACCACTGAGAACAATAAAACCTGAAGCAAATGTGTGTTTTTTTGTTTTGTTTTTGAATAAAAATTTGGGCAACTTTTTACAGTGTTCTGTAATACTCATTTACGAATATGGCATAACAATTATGCAAGACATAAGAGCATCTCATTAACATGATCTTATTACAAGCGAAATCTTACACCAGCCCCTTGTAGTGTTAAGAGTGCAACTCAGGGCCTTGCGAGTGCTGGGCACACACCACACCCACGCCCCTTCTTTTCTTTATATTAGTGTTTAATAAAGGACAAAAGCAAACAACAAAGTTTGCCACCTTCCAGCCCATCTGTATTGGCTGTCTGGAAACAACAGTGTAAAAATGAACTACTGAATGGAATGTTTGGTCAATTCTGGCTCATAAAGCAGAACATCAGAATGCAACATTTTGAGAATTTACAAGTGCTTCTTCTCTAAAGTGGCCTCTTGGCAATATGTCTCCTTCAGTTCCCTCCAGGACTGCCACAGCAGCAGTCCTGGGATCAGAACCCACAAACCATTAAAAAACACCAAATAGACCCAAAAGTAGAGGCGGCTCTTGGTGTTGAGGTTGGGGCTTCCAACGAGCCACTCGGGGAAGAAGGTCATCCAGCCACCGTAGAGTTCACACACGCACAAGGTGATCTGTATGAAATGCCTGTGGGGAGAAGACTCCAAGTGAAGCTGGGACATCTTTACCGGCAGAAGCAACGCTGCCCTTCCCAGCCTTGTTCTAACAGCCTTTAGCATTCTAAACACACCTGAGCACCCTCAGTGAGGCCACCACTGACCCTCAAAGAGACCGGGCTATCAACTCGACACCAGCAGTTTCATCTGGTGTAAGATGACAACATCCTTCCTAAAAGGATACTGTGAGAATAACGAAATATGTAAATAAAGGGTCTTCATTATCTGTGACTGACACACAGTCAATCATGCAAATATTAACAATGTTTGACACGATACCCGTGCAAATTTGTAATGTGTCTGCAAATGTGGTTAAAGGAATCAAGGAAAATCACTGCTAATTTTCTGTAGAAGTTCTAGGGAAAGGGGATTAAGAGCTGGGAGGACTCTTCCATTTCTCAGATTTATGAAAAAGCTTTACACCTTGAAGTCTATGTAAAGCTTTTGTCTTGTGGATAAACATGCTTGCAACTACATCCAAATGCCATGCGGACACTGGGCAGCTACTGTCTCTCCCTTCCCACTGGACAGGAGTGAACTTACCTGTAATATTTCTCCTCGACTATGGCATAAATGAGAACCAATGACAGAAGCCCGTCCAAGACAACAGTCAGAATTTCCACAGACACAATGGTTGAATCAAAATACAGCCATCTTGCATCAGCCTTGCCATATTCTTTCCCTAAAGGCAAAATACGCATGTTATTCTCCCGGCTGGCAAACAGTTGTTCTTGTTAACTTTTTAGGCAGTGTGCAATGAATGGGCTGCAATAAACAATTTCAGTCAAGCATCTCAGTCTACTCCATTCATGCAAAATCATAAAATAATAAAAACTTGAAACACACACCCGCACATACTTGCATATACCATACACACAGACGATGAATAAATAAATGAAGATAAAACAAAAGCTGAGTAAAATAATAAAATAAAGAGCTGAGCGGTGGTGGCACACGCCTTTAATCCCAGCACTCGGGAGGCGAGGCAGGCGGATCTCTGTGAGTTCAAGGCTGGGCTGGACCGACAGCCTCCAAAACAATACAGAGAAACCCTGTCTCGTAAAACCAAAAAAAGAAAAAAGAAAAAAAAAAAAGAAAAAAGAAAAAGAAAAAGAAAGGAAGGAAGAAGAAAGACACCCAGTAAACAATGCACAATTGCAGATGCCAAACCTGAAAGCTAGGAAGAGATGCTGGTGCCTGCCTCCCTGACGTAGCCACCCTGGTACAGAGCACACTGGGAAGTCAGTGTTGGTCAATTTACAATGAGTGTCAGAAGATGGGGAAACTACCTGACAGCTCCACAGGGTAGGAGGAATTTGAAGAATTATTTAGAAGACAGGTATAGATACACAATCAATAGCAAACTGGGGGCTGGAGAGGTGGCTCAGCAGTTGAGACTATGCATACTTTTCCAGAAAACCTGGGTTCAGCTATCAGCATCCATGCAGGGCAGCTCAGGCCTGTAACTCCAGCTCCAGGGAGCTGACACCCTCTGCTGGCCTCTGAGGACACTGCTCACATGCCCATCCCCCCATACACCTATCAAAACTAAAGTTTTAAAAAGTAAATTTACACAAAACATCTACGGGGGAAGCACCCAGTTTAATTCCTGCAGGCCTTTTGGTGTCTTTGTTTAACAGGGTTGTGTAGGGACTCACACATGCCAGGCAAGTGCTCCACCACTGAACCACACCCCAGCTGTACACTCTGCTCACTGTGCAGCCTACTGAGATGTAATTCACATGGCATACAATTCCAAGTTTAGCACATTCACAGACGTGAATAGACACAATCTAACTGAGAACATCCCAAAGGAGAAACCCACACCCATTAGCAGTCACCCGCTTTCCCTTCCACATCCCAACTCTCATCCCCACCTCCAGAATTTGTTATCTGTCTCTACAGAGTCACCTGTTCTGGACAGGACATGTAAATGGAACCGTACAACAGGTGATAGAGACATTCAGTTCATCCACAGCAATTCTTGCAGTTAATCTCCTAGACATTTCATCACATACAAATGTTTTTAATTACTTACATAAAGATGCAATCAAGCCTCGGGAATCTGCAACATTTCCTACTACAGACAAGTAGACAAAAGCGCCTTCCTAGAGGGAAGAAAAGGGAGACAGGCTGTTTAGCCTCATCACCACAGGGCGGCACGGCAGACACATGCACGGCAGCGGCTCCCCCCTTCCCCTCTGTAAGGAGTCCACGTCTTGGCCAGTGGCCTGGAGGACCACACCTTCTAATCTCTGGAGGCAATCAGACTGGGAAATGAATGTGGTCAAACCAAATATAAATGTTACTTGTTAACGCCTGGCATTATAAATCAGAGGTGTGCTCTTATGTAGAAAAAGCAAAGTGAAAATTTCAAGGAGAGTGTTTGACTGTTGTACAAAATAAATAAAAATTAGCTTTAGATTTTTCCAAGGATCTTAAATCTTGGAGAAGACTCTCACAGCAGTTCATTGCTGAACCTTAAAGATAAAATGCATGTGGCCCATCAAATGTCTAAAGAGCTGAGCCCTCTTCCTGTGCTGCATAAGGGCAAATTCAGGAAGACTTTAAACATGAGAGACTTTCTTTGGACTTAGTGATGGATCGTGGGAAAGTTTATTTGCCTACACTTCCAAAAGTCGAGCAGCTAGAATTCACTGGTCTACCTGAGGTGACATTGATTACCTTGACTATATGGTCAGTTTACACTAGCCTGGGATGCATGAGATCTTGTCTCAAACTAAAGAGTAGCAGACTGTATCAACCTACACCAGAGTTGTGGTAGTATAGTGTCATCTCACAAAGCTGCCACCGAGGCCAAGGGAAAACGCATCAACTTTTAGTAACTGTGAGATTCTTCCCAAAGTAATAGTAAGGGCTGAGACGCCCTCTCCCTTCCTCCAAAGCTAATAAACCTTCCCAGCAACCACATTGGCTGCTTTTTGTTACCACAGCAGCGTGACAGAGAAAGGCTAACTTCAGAGGAAAAAGAGTTCTTCAGCTCACCATTGCAGGGGCTTAGAGTTTAGACTGCCGGGCCTGTGGTGGATGGAGAATGGTGGATTGTATGTGGAAAAGAAACCACATCTCAAGCTAGGCTTGGTCCTGTAACAGCAATCCCCTTGTGTGAACTACCAAGGGGTCCCATGAGGGCTACCACATCCCTCAATGACCCAGGACCTTCCCATTAGATGTCACCTCTTTCAGATGGTATCTCTGGAAAGTGAGCATGGCCTGTTCTGCCCCTGAAAGAACTTGGGAGAGACACAAATAAGTAGGCCCAGGCCCGCCACAGCAGCAGCTATACTAATATCCACATACTCTCCCCAACAACAAACTCAGCAAGACACTGGAGGCAGAATCTGATCACAGAATGAGACCAGTGACCCTGACTCTGAAGACTCCTGGGGCTCCTGACCAAGTTTGCTCTAACCACATAGTAACTACAGCAGAAACCATCTGGTGTGATTTCTAAGGGACCAACATCGTTAAAAGAGACCTACATGGTTCCGGACAGGAATTCACTTTGTGTTAATGAACTGTAAAGTTTACTTTTTCCACCGTTAAAGCATGAATTTCGGACCTTTTCATAATCAACACAGGAAGCTATTAGCTTCAGAAGACTTTCACCACAACATACACTCCATATTCAGCCTTTCTGATTAATAGCCAGAGTATATAAAGACCTTAATACTAACCAAAAGATTAACCACAATTTTAACACCAAAAGAACAAGTCAACGAATCAATAAGCGAATGGTCAAGTGAAGTAAACAACATTTCTCAAGTGACATACAAAAGGTCAGGAGCCTGTGAAGAAATCTCCAACACCTTTAGTCATCAGGGACAAGTAAATCCAAACTACATTGAGATTCTATCTTACATAAGTTGGGATAGCTAGCATACAAAAATTAGGGGGTGGAGAAACAGTCAGATTGGTTAAGAAAACTGGCTGCTCTTCCAGAGGTCCTGAGTTCAATTCCCAACAACCATATTGCAGCTCATGACCATCTATAATGGGATCTGATACCCTCCACCAAATGCAGAAAGAGCATCCATGTACAAAAAAATACATTTAAAAGACATTAGCTGGCCGGACGGTGGTGGCGCATGCCTTTAATCCCAGCACTTGGGAGGCAGAGGCAGGCGGATCTCTGTGAGTTCGAGGCCGGGCTGGACCGACAGCCTCCAAAACAATACAGAGAAACCCTGTCTCGTAAAAACCAAAATTATATATATATATATATATATATATATATATATATATATATATATATATAACAAAATTCCCAAAGGGGAAAAACAGAAAGCAACCTAAAAAATATTGCCCATGCCCACCACATCCTGCACAGCTCAGTCATGTTAGCCTGATAGGTGATGAGGGAATGAAGACAGACACGGACACTTCAGCTAGGAGTGTGGTCAATGCTTTCCATATACTCTGTCAACATTCACACGCAGACCACAGGGAGGCTGTGCTAATTCCCTGAGCCTGACCAGGGGAAGACTTTGCCATTTCCATGGGTCTGGAGCATTGGGGTTCTTGACATGGCCTTGTCACTAATAAACATTCACTCAGGGTTTCCTATGCTCCCAACACGTGCCCTTATGGTAAATGACCAGACCCTGAAATGCTCATCCTGCTGTCTCAGGGTCTAGATGGCATATGATGGGCAAGTTTTCTCTTGTTGTCAATGAGGTGAGGTCTGCAGAAGGTTGCCAAGACATTTATTCCAAGTTTGCTATTTCAAAAAATTAAGGTTCTGGACATCAAGATATTTGGCCTTACAAACGGGATATTTCCTATTGCAAGGTTAAAACAGGAATAAGCTAACTCCATCTAACTGAGCAACTAGCAAAGTCACTTGTAAAGACCATGTATCATGGCAGATGAAGTTAACAAAGTCCCGCCTCATTTTTCTCTTCTGTTATTCCAGACCTGTGGCTTGTAACAATGCATTTTATAGATTTGTAGAAACTACAAATGCTCAAAAGAAGCCAGTGTCTTGCCTGGAAGCTACTGTGACCTAGGATTAAATAACAATTTTACAAGAAATGGTGTATACACTCACTTCAGTCCTCAAAGATAGATTTCACAGAAAAAAAAAGTAGCTACTTTGTATGCAAATACATTTTGGAGTGTTTGCTTGAATAGTATTTGAATGAAGACTTGGATACAATGTAGCCCTCAGCATTAGAGCAGAGATAGGTAGAGAGTGGAACCCACGTGACTCCTGCTGACACACATTAGTACTTTCAGATCTGACCAAGTGCCTCAGCCTAATCACACTGGGGTTGTCATGGTAACAGCCTGCACCACCATTCATGGGAGGACCAGCTGCAGCAGCCCCTCCCCCAGGCTTTACTGACTTTAGATATGTTCACTGCCAGCTGCCATTCTCCCACTAAATGACCTCTCTCTTTTGATGCAGTCTTTCCCAGCTCCAGCAGACAGTTGTCACCTGGCATTACCAGTGGCTAGTGATGGCTCCTGTGGAACCTTGGTGTCAATCACACTAGTGCTGCTGCACCCACGCTGTTGGGCTTAGTGTTGGATTTAGGACAGGAGAACATCTGTCCTCTTGAGGGAATCCTCATTTCTGCTGAGACGGCTGTTCTCAGGGTAAGGACCAGATGGGAGTCCTGAGACTCACTGGGACTGGACATGAGGATTAAGACTGTCTGCTACAAGAACAAGATCAAAGGGGCACAGGGGAGCTTCTGAGGGGTGCAGGCAGAGACAACAGAAACCTTTGAGGTTGGGAAAGTGCCAGACACCCTGTGTCCTTGCAACCCTGGTCCAAGAACCCAGATCTCATCTGGGAATTTGGCACCAGTGCAGAATGTCAGCCAATCCTAGGGTGACTGCTATATGGACAGGTTGAGAAGCACTGCTTTCAGTCACAAATGGCATTCAATCTTCATAGCAGGTCTTGTTTTTATCTGTTTGTTTTGAGGCAGGGTCTCAATCTGTGGCTTGAGCTAGCTTTCACCTCAAACCCTCCTGTCTCAGCCAAGTGCTGAGATTTGAAGTGTGAGCCACATCGCTCCTGGGTTTACAGCAACCCTTTGAAGAGAACATTGATTTCCATCTGTTAAGGACATGCCAGTCTGCTGCAGCTGTCAGGGTGACGAAGACCATCAGAAGAGTTTCAATAGAGGAAGTGTCCACACCACACGCCTGTAAGGGATTGTCCGTCCACGCCTGTAAGGGATGTCTTGACTGATACAGGAAGCCCATCGTGCCGCCTGAGGCCAGCTTACTGCAGGAGGCTCCACCAGCCACATAGCTGAGGGATGCACAAGAAATCTAGCTGACCGTGTGCCAGCGTGTGAACAAGCAAGCAGCCTTCCGCCATGGTCCTACCCTGAGCTGCTACAGCCTGACTTCCCTCACTGACGGACCGGGGCCTGGAGGTAGAAGGTGAAGTAATCCCTTTCCTCCCCTCTGCTTTTGGTCAGAGTGTTGCGGCGACAGAAAGCAAACGAGGACAATGGATAAGGTGCATGGCAGCAAGTGGGCATGGCACTGGAGGGGAAGCCGGGAGCTTACATCTGGATCCATAAGCATCAGGCAGATGGAGAGCTAACTGGGGATGATGTGGGCATTTGAAACCTCAAAGCCTCCTGTGACACCCTCCTCCAACAAGACTGTATCGCCTAATCCTCCCCAAATATATGAGTCTATGGAGGGCATTCTCAGTCAAACCACCCCAATCGCTACAGGAGGCCACGCTTTTGGCTACAGGCGACTGGACTGGAACATACCAACTCTAGAGGGGTAACTCCCTGACTGGAAGCAGTCACCTGTAAGGACAGCTGGTCAATGGCATCTTCACCTTCTACAGTACAGACTGATAAACAGACGGAAGAAGTCATGGGAGGCCAGGGAGATGGCTCAGTGGATAAAGGTATTTGCTGCCAAGCCTGACTTGCTTGCTTCCCAGGATTCCACAGTAAAAGAAGAGAACTAAGGCTTGCAAACTGTCCTCTGCCCTCCACATGCACCCCTCCTAATAAATACATGGAATAACAACAAAAAAAGAAGTTATAGGTGGCCAAGATCCAACCAGCATGTATACATGTGTATACACACACACACACACACACACACACACACACACACACCAATAATATAATGAAATGAATAAAATAAATTTGGTCTAATGTTATAAGGAATCACCAGGGACTAGGATATTTCACCCATATCTTCTCCAATATCAAGGATATAAGAAAAACATTTTGTGGCATGAAAAGTTTTTGAAGCTGGATGCTGTGGCACCACCTATGACCTCAGCATGTAGGCCAAGGCAGGAGGAATGTGAGTTTGAAACTAACCTGGGCTACACAGCTGCACTATAGAGCGAGATCCTGTGTCTAAAAACAAAAGCACGGGGATTCAGTTGTGCTTGCTTTGCTGTCGTTTATGTGTTAAAAAAAAAATGCTGTGAGCTGTGTCTCCTGGGAATGTCAGAACCCAAACCTCTAAAGTCTTACCAACATGGCTGCCTAAACATGAGATGAAGAAATACACGGCCATGGTGACATGGACAGGGAAAGCTCAGCCGGTCTCAGCCCTACACGAAGAGCAGGCCACTTAAGGAATGCTGAGAGTGGGGGAAAGTCTTCCCCACAAGAGCACACTCAGCGGGAGACAGCAGTGGAGGGTGAGGGGCAGCTGGTGGCAGAAACTAGAATCAGGCGACACACAAGCACACAGACAAACCAAGAGCCTGAACGCTGCAAATGGAACCCAGGCCACAACTGCCCTCTACCCTGAAGAACAAGCCTACACAGAGCACCGCAGGAACAATATGCTAATACGAAATCCCACGGAGGCTGATGAAAGGACCAGCTGGTCCCACGGCAGTTGGGCACCCAGCACACAGCACACAGCAAGACTGTCCCCACTGTGCACTTGTCCATCCCTCCCCAACCTCCGGCTCACGCCTCTCGGCTTCCGACTCAGCCTCTTTCCGTGGGAGCTTCTTGCTCACCTCCCTCGCTTCCTGCCACAGTCTGCTGCTCTCTTCTCCACCGGCCTGCCTCGGCTGCTTCTCACCCTCCCCCCTCAAAGCCACCTCACAGGTAACCCCTCAAGCCCACCTCACCATCCAATCCCACCCTCAACACTTAGCTCAGGCCACACCCACAGTTAAGACCTGTCCCCCCCCCACATCCCACTAGCTACATCAGTATCTGCAGCCAGAGAGTAATTGGGTATAAAATTTTAGATTCATTAAGATGGATAGATAATGGGGGCTGGAGAGATGGCTCAGTGGTTAAGAGCACTGACTGTTCTACCGGAGGTCCTGAGTTCAATTCCCGGCAACCACATGGTGGCTCACAACCACCTTAAATGAGATCTGCTGCCCTCCGCTGGCATGCAGGCAGAAGACTGCAATAAATAAATAAAATATTAAAAAAACAATAAAATACACAAATGAACTAGAATTTATTACATTGCCAATGTAATCTTTACTTGATAAGTGTTCTTATTGTGCACAGTTAAAGTTATAACCTTTCATTTTTTAGCTTAGACAAAAAGGGGAAATGTTATAGGATATTATTTCAAGGTGTGTTACTTTTGTTTATGCTCTGGAACGTTTGTTTAATGATGCAAAGATGTGTTTCATTAAATAAAATTCCCCCGTAGTCAGGAGGCTGGGTCAGCAACTAGCTGGCAGCAAGTGGCAGGGAGGATCCAGATGGAGAAGGGCTTAGTTTTGATTGTGAGCCTAGCCTTGAAAGCTGAACCATCTCTCCATCCCATGGAGAAGGGTTTATGAGGAGGGCCAAGGAGAAGCTGAGGGCGTCTGCACAGACTCGAGGAGAGGAGGCGAGCTACTTAAACTAGCTATTCGGCATTTCTGAGGAGCAGAATTCTACCACAACTTTGAATCTTGAGTTATTTAGAGGGACAGACTTAGAGACATTCCCTTCATAGCTGGGAAACAGTTGGGGCCAGAGGGAACAGAATCCCCTCAGAGAGCAGTTCCTGAGGCCTAATCCTGCAGATAGCAGCTGAGTTGCAGCTAATAATTCAGACAGCCATAGCATAAAAGGCAGAGATGATAACAAGAGAACTACATACCCTTTGAGCAAACTGCTAACCATAGCCAATCCAGGCAAGGACATTCCTTACAGGCCTCACTGCTAATTCAAGAGTCCTCCCCACTGATCTCAGGGTGGAGTGAAAGACACGAGTGAAAGCACTGTTAGTAACTAACGTGGGCTTACTTGATCTTTAAGGTATGCCTCAGCTTCAGAGAGATTCAATTATCAACCAAGTGGCTTGTGCTTGTCATGGTAACTCCATAGATGGAAAAGGAAACCTTAGGTGGGAAGAATAAATCAGGGCAATCCCAAAGGAGCCCTTCACAGCAGACAACAGCGTGATCCTTGGGGGCAGTCTTCCTATCTGGAGCAGGAGAACAGACCCATTCCAAACATCAGACCAGACCTCCAGGTGCCGTGGACTGAGGCATGTGCCATGATCCCTCAGTCTGTGTTTGAAAAGTCAACTTAAACTGGGTGATGACAGACAAATACATTTTTTGAGAATCTTTATACCTTTTTATATTTCTGGAATGCTATAACTATAACCTGGGTTTTTGGGCTGTTTGTTTTTGAGACAAGATCTCATGTAGCCCAAGTTGGCCTTGAACTTACAATGTAACCAAAGAGGGCTTTGGATTTCTCATCTTCCTGCCTCCCTCCCAATCGCTGTGGTGACAGATACACTGTACCTGTTTTGCTACCCTTGTTCTTTAGGAGACTGTGCAGCTTAAAAGTCAATTCTATAAACAAAGGCTTTGAGGTAAAGAACCTTGATCTTGTCTCTACACATAATACTAGAAAATCATTGGGAAAGAAGGAATTTCATCTTTGCAAACACCTGGCATTGGCAACTTTAACTGGCAATACACACAGACCTAAACCATTGCCCAACACAGTGCTTTCTTTTTATTTCAAGACTATGGACTTTAGCTTCACAAGAGAGCAAGTGTAGATCAGATCTTATTTTTTAAAAAGGTATTTAAAACTATATTTTTACCTGTGGAGGGAGTAGACTTCAGTAGAACTACCTGTGCACAGTCCCATTGGTTACTTATAAAGTGGGGTGAGGGACCAGCGAGATGACTCAGCGGATAAAGGCCCTCCAGTCAAACCTTGGGGCCTGAGTTTGATCCCTAAAACCCAATAGTGGGACGGACAGAACAGACTCTGCAAACTGTCCACTGCTCCCCATATGCAATGTCATGGCAGGTGCACACCCCCCACCCCAAGTAAGTAAAGTAAAACAGTGATTGACTTTATTTTAGGTGAACTTTAAGGCCACATTATGGTTAATCTCGAGGTTAACTGTCAATTGGATGGGATCTGGAATCACCATCAGAACAATTCCCTGTCAGGGATTATCTATACTAGGTTAACTGAGATGAGGAGACCCACTGTGCACCAGGGTGGTACCATTCTGTCAGCAGGGGCCATGGACTGACTTCCTGGCTGAGGACCCGATCACTGCAGCTGCCTCCTGCCCTTGCCACACCCTCCTGCCACAAGGGACCACAGCCCCTCACTGGGAGTCAAAACTAACACTTCTTTTAATTTCTCTCATCAGGATTTCACTGCAGCAATAACACAAGTAACTAATACAGAAACTTGGTAAACCTGACCCTGTGGGACTTGGGCTTTGGAACTGAAGTGTAAGAAGAATGTGAACGGTTTGAAACCTTGGGCTAGAAAAGCCCTAGAATGCTCTAAGCAGAGCTTAACAGGCCATTCTGGCAAAGGTTTGGAAGACCAGAATACTGAGAGATAAGGCAGAGTGACTCATGAGAGTCCAGAGGAGAACAAGGCCTCTTCGGGAAACTGAGCTAGAGGCCACTCAGGTTATATGTGTACACAGAATCTGATTGCTTTCTGGTTGCAGCTTGAGTACATTAGACCAGAAATGCACACACTGAAGATTAAATAACAGATTATTGAATGAGTGAGTAGTTGAATAAATCAAGAAGGAAATTTTAAAAATGATCTCAGAATTAAATGAAAATTAAAACACAAAATACCAAAGCTTGTGGGATGAAATAAAAGCAGTTCTAAGAGGGAAAGTTAAAGTTTTTAGAGCCTACATTAAAAAGAAAAACAGAGCCAGGCGGTGGGGGTGCACACCTTTAATCCCAGCACTCGGAAGCAGAGGCAGCCTGGTGAGTTCAAGACCAGCCAGGTCTACAAAAGTTAGTTCCAGAACAGCCCCCAAAGCCACAGAGAAACCCTGTCTGGAAAAAACGAAAACAAAAACAATAACAACAACAACAACAACAAAAAAGAAAAACAAAGTTAGAATTAATAGCCTCATGATGCATCTTGAGAGTTGGAAAAAGCAGGAATAAACCCAACTCCAAAACAGCAGATCGGAAGGAATAATTAAAACCAAGGCAAAAATTAATAAAACAAGCAAAAAACCAATAAAGCTGATTCTTTGAAAAGATTAATAAGATTGTCAAACTTTTACCCAAACTAACCAAAAGACAGCAAACCTAAATTAATAGAACTAGAGAAGAAAAAGATTAAGAGACATCCGAGAAATTCAGAAATTCATAGGGGCATACTTTAAAAACCTATATTCTACAAAATTAGGAAAGCTACAAGAAATGGATTTCTAGATATATCTCACCCACAGAAGATAAGCCAAGATGAGGGGAGGGGTGTGGGGAGAGGAGGAGGAGAAATTCCTCTAGCAAGTCTCAGTTGGGGGATACCTTTGATAGAAGACCAGGCAGCACATGGGAAGTAGGGCTCAGTCTGTGCAGGGAACCAGCCTATGAGAGAGAGGTGGTGCCCTGAGGCCTCCCGGGACATCCGGCCCTCAGGTTCCCAGCCCTCCTCCACGGGGCGGAACCCGAGGCTGGCAGCCACAGGGCAATGCTTACCAGCACGAAGTGCACCAGGGCATCATAGCAGAGCCAAGCGAGCACCCCACGCTCCACCGCGCTCCGCCCGCGGCCCAGGCGCAGGCCCAGCGCGCACCCCGCGGCCAGCAGAGCCGAGCACAGAAGCAAGGAGGAGCCCACCGCCGGGCACAGCGCCCAGTCCTCATCCATGGGTTCCGGGCTTAATCAAGCACCAGCCCAGCACGCAAACTAGACTCTCGTGGGCGGGTCTTCTTGCAGGCGGACCTTCTCTTGGGCGTGCTTCTGTGGGCGGAGTTACTCAAGGGCATGCCTCCTAGGGGGCTAGCCCATCAACCCGCTGTGCCTGCCACTGCAGGCCAATTCTATCCTGATGGTACCTGGACCCAGGCTCAAGCTTTACATGCTTAAGCGCTTCCACAATATATACGAAGTCTGATGTCTAACAGGTTTAAAAGGTTAAGTCACAAAGTGAAAGTCCAGACGTAGGGGATTTTGCCCAGAGACTCTAAATCTTGAGACCAAAGGTTATGAAAAGGCCAAGCAAGTATTGCGAAAGAGACCTAAGCAAGCACTCGCTTCCGCAGCACATATACTAAAATTGGAACGATAGAGAGACCTAAGCAAAGATCTTTACATTCATTATCCCTCTTTTAACCATTGTTTCGTTTGTGTTTGATACAGTCTAGCTACATCGCTCAGGCTAAAATGGAAATCAGTTTGCAGCCCAGGCTGATTGAACTCTAGGTTATCCTCCTCCCTTGACTTCCTGAGAGCAGCAACCACAGGCTAGCATCACCATGCTACCACCCATACCCAGCACTCCCCAGGACTTTAAAATCCAAAGTGGTTGCCTGATCTATTTCTAATATTTAACTCTCAGAAGCCAAATGCCGTATGCCTCCTCTGGGGACGTGCATGCTGTATGCCTCCTCTGGGGACGTGCATGCCGTATGCCTCCTCTGAGGACATGCCTCAGCAACACAGCACTTGTCTAGCACCTACTAGACTCCCAGGTTTCCGGGGTGGAGGCAGATTCTGGGAAAGAGGGGAGGGCAGTTGTTTAGTAGAGTTCATTCTAACTTTGCAACAGAGGACATTTCTGCAGGTTGGCTTCATGGCAGTGTGAGCAAACTGAGTGCCACTGAGCTAGATGCTTTAAAATGGTTGGCTAGGAGGTGAGTTCTGTTACCTACACCTTGTCAAAAAGATTGCTGGCGCAGGATAAAACAAAACAAAACAAAAAACTCGCCCCAGTCACTCATAGTGGCAGATAACATCTGCAGAAATGATGTCTTTGCTTCTTATTACTACTCCCTTGCTCTGCTCTAGAACATAAACTCCACAAGAGCAGCAGCTGTGACCGGCCTGTCTAGTGTGGGATACTTGACACCTATAGCAGATCTGGCGTATTCCTGCTGTCCAAGAACTGCTGACTGCGGGAGCAGAGCCAATCCTGCCAGCCCAGCAACAGAAAACTGATTGCTCTTTGATATGGTCGGTGTATTTCTCAGCCACACTGACAGACTCTACGATCAACTGAGAGACCAGGCTCTGAGCATGCCTGTGGAGGATTCTCTGGTTAGTGACAGTGGGAAGGTGCTATTCCACAGGGTGGGTTCGGGACTGAAGAAAGAGAAGAAAGGCCCTGGCATGCTCCACTAGCTGCCTCTAGCTCCTGCCGCCACGATTGCCCTTCCGTGATGGACTGCACCCACGAACTGGGGGCCAAAGTAAACCCCTTCTCTCTTAGTTTGCCACTGTCGGTCTATGTCTGTCACATCAGCAAGAAAAGCAATTCACCTGGTAACTAATCTGTCTTCCACTGGATGAAAGGGCTTAGACTAAGGGCCTGGAGAGATGGCCCCTGCCCTTCCAGAGAGTCTGAGTACAGTTTCCACCTCATCAACACCTGTGAGTCCTGCTCCAGGGGATCCAATGACCTATAGTAGCCTCTGCCACACAGCACTCACATACATATGTACACCGTTTTAAGATATATAAAAATTGATCAGCAGTGGAGGGCACGTCTTTAATCCTAGCACTAGGGAGGCAAAGGCAAGTGGATCTCTGAGTTAGAGACCAGCCTAGTCTACAGAGCCAGTTCCAGAACAGACTCCAAAGCTTCAGAGAAACCATCTTGAAAAACAAAGATGGATAGATGGTTTAGCAGCTAGGAGCACTCCCTGCTCATCCAGAGGACCTAAGTTCCATTCAGAGCATCTACATGGCAGCTCACAACTGTCTGTAACTCCAAGATCTGACACCCTCACACACATATACGCACAGGTAAAACACCAATGAACATAAAATAAATTTAAAAAAGAAACATAAAAATTGTGAAGCTTAGATTAAAAGCCATCCTACTCCACCCCTGCTCTTCCGTCTCAGTGGTTGCTGCCTTCACCTCCACACTGCAACAGCTCCTTCTGAGTGGTGACTTCCACATCAGCCCTTCCAATGTCTCAAATCAACTTAGTTCCCTCTGCACATCGAGGTCTGATCCTTTCCTGTGTCTCAAGTTAATTCCATCCCCTCAGATCTGGAACCATCCAGCAACCAAGGATCTTTCTCAATACTTCCTCCAGAGACTGCACACACATCCCAGGCATCACCAACCCAGCGTTTCCAGCAGTCAAGCAAGCTCCTTGTGACGCATGGACTTCATCTTTTACCTGTTTCACCCTCACTAATGTGAGCAATCATCTTGAATCCAAAGACAGCTGTCCTTATTAAACATTCATTTTTTCGCATATGTAAGTGGGTTAGGGTTAGGCATCCGTGTCTGCCACTCACGGAAGCCAGAAGGCAGTCGATCCACAGGACCCAGAGCTATGGAGAGCTGTGACTGCCATGTGAGTGCTGGCAACCAAACTCGGGTCTCTTGCAAGAGCAACAAGTGCTGCTAGCCGCTCAGCCATCTCTGCAGCCCCCAAACCATCTCCTCTTATCCCTCTTGTGCCCATTTCCCACTGCTCACAGTGCTGAAATCCTACAGACGGCCACCAGGCTGTGCTGTCTGCCCCTAGCTAGCATCTCCCCATTGGCCCTATTACTCCTTCCTCCCTGGGTCGCTGATCACAAGCCTTCACTCCCTTGTGGTCCTCACAATGCTCTGTGCACCATTGCCACCATCAGATTTCCCAGCCAACCTGCCCAGTTAACCCCCGCTTTTGAGCACAGTCAGCTTCACAGTTTGGAGAAAACACAGCTGAGCAGAGCTTCTTCCCCAGGGCAAGAGGACTGCAAGGAACAAGAGCACAGCAGACCTGGAGGAGACACTTGGGAGCCTCCACCTTTCTGACCAGGCCATTCCTGACATTTGTTTATCCTATGCTCAGTAATCATTTTAATGTTTCCAGAGGCTCAGTCAAAATCACACACACACACACACACACACAGACACACACACAAAACCAAAAAAACCCAAGACACTGACATAGCATAGAGTTAAAGGCAATTTATAGGGAAAACTGGACTGAAATGGTATGAAATTTATTAAATTTCAGACAGACAGATGTCTATGTAATAGGGCAAAGGAAGTTTAGGTTGTTAATTCAAGTCCAAGTTAGAGGTGGACAATAACTGAAAATCTCTTCCCACACTAGAACTGTCAAGAGGATGGGATGCTGCCATTCCACTATAACCAGAAACTATGGCATTACTCATTGTTGGGTCCATAGACTGTTTAAGTTGACAGGAACCAGGCTCGATAAGGCCCTTAACCCAGGAAGGGGCTAATGCATGAGTGCTCTGGTGTGTGTGTGTGTGTGTGTGTGTGTGTGTGTGTGTGTGTGTGTGTGTGTGTGTGTGTGTAGGGTCTTGTAAGAATAACACAGTCTCTTCTGCTCTCTGAAAAAAAAAAACCAAACATGTAGTTCCAAGCACACTTGTAATGATGGCAATTTAAGGGAGGTGAGTTTGTTCAGGGACAGGAGGGACCTCCATAGCAACAGCAGCCAACAATGTAGACTAAGCTCTTTGGAGTGACTTATTACTTCTCAACCCTACCCCATAAAAGGATTGCCTCAAAAGTCTATTTTTTATCTCTAAAACTATCACATAAATGTAAATGTATGTTCTGTAACACACACCTAGGTTTAGAGTTACATAAAACTGGTAGAAACTGCTATCTCATGAAGACATTCCTTCTTAATATTTCAGCTTTACATACATGGTCTTGTCTTTCGACACCATCATTGGGAAGGGAACCATTCAACAAGTAGATGGTAATTTTTATGGTAAGCAGGGGCACTGCAGAACAAACTCCTTTCAGAGACTTGCCATTTCACTTTTCTCTTTCTCATTTTTTATTTTGAGAAAACGTTACTCTGTTTATCTTTGGCTGTCCTGGAACGCACTCTTTAGACCAGGTTGTCCTTGAACTCAGAGATCCACCTGCCTCTGCCTCCCAAGTGCTGGTACTAAAGGCGTGCACCACCGCTGCCCAGGAATGTGATTTCTTAGTAATGGTACTCTGTTTTACTTATTTAATGGTTTTTCACATTTGTAATCAGGACCTAGAGCATACTACTCAAACTCTCTACTTCTCTTCTGTATTACTTAATAAACTTTAAGATTTCCAAGGGAACTACTTTCTTGTGTGCCTTAGGAAGTAATGAACATGAAACAAAGTTTTCAAACTATGCTGACTTTTGGGGCCATCACTAGCTCACTGAAGTTGCTGAGAAGAAACTACCACTGTCCACACAACACACACATTTGTGCACTGTTTCAGCTGGGCCTTTTCTACAGGAGTTGACGTTGACCAATGCTGTACTAGGATGGAAGTTTGCGCCCTTGGGAGACATTTAGCAATGTCTATGTTCAGTTTGTTCAGTTGTCAGGACTGGAAGATGATGAGGTGCTATGACAACCTGCTGAGTAGAAGTCACAGATGAGCTAACCATCTCACAGTGCACAGCAGGATGCCTTCAGAACAGTCACCCAATACCTGGAAATGTCCTGAAATGAGTTACCTGTTGACCCAAGCAATCACGTGGACAGACTGTATCCCCACACCCATCTTCCCCCAACCCTTGACCCCTTTTTTGTTTTTGTTTATTCAAGACAGGTTTTCTCTGTGTAAAATCCTGACTGTCTGGGAACTTGCTTTGTAGATGAGGCTGGCCTCGAACTCCCAAGCCTGTGCCACCCAAGTGCTGGGATTAAAGGCCTGTGCCACCCTTTTTGATGCCTGGTCTCTATGCTCTGAGTCTTCCTGTCCCAGTCTTCTGCTCTTGCATGAAAATTTTTCTCTGAAGCTTCA